GTCAATACCATGTAACTCTACCAGTTGAATAATCATTGTTTGAGTTGTAAACTTCAACCACGAGTCCTCCCATTCCATCAGAATCATAACCTTTAGATATCAAAATATCACCACTATTCAATACTCTTGTAGTTGTTTGAGGAGAACTCCAAGTGCTTCCTGACAGAATAGCAACACCATTATGGTAGAGAGTGTACGAATTGTCAGCACCAGCATAAATGGTATATGTTGTCGAGACTGAACATGTTGAGCCACCCCATCCTGATTTACAAGTGGAACATGTTGCACCATCATAATTACCAGAACATACAGAACAAACACCTGGTGAGGCACAAGTTGTACATTTGGCATCACAAATTGGTGTTGCACAACTGGTACCTGACCAACCAGTTTTACATGTTGAACAAGTAGCTCCATTCCAGTTTCCTGAACATACAAAACAAACACCTGGTGAGGCACATGTTGTACATTTGGCGTCACAAATTGGTGTATTACAATCAGAACCTGTCCAACCAGTCTTACAAGTAGAGCAAGTTGTTCCATTCCAGTTTCCAGAGCAAACAGAACAAACTCCTGGTGATGTACAATTAGCACATTTAGAATCACATACTGGTGTGGTACAATTAGTTCCATTCCAGCCAATTCTGCATGTTGAACAAGATGTTCCATTCCAATTACCAATACATGTACTACATTGACCAGGTAAAGTACAATTCACACATTTTGAATCGCAAATAGGTGTGTTACAATCAATACCAGTCCATCCTGATTTGCAAGTTGAACAATCATTTCCATTCCATTACCTGAACATGTTAAACATTGACCTGGTGCAGAGCAGTTCTTACACTTGACTTCACAAATTGGTGTATTACAATCAACACCAGTCCATCCTAAATTACATGTTGAACAAGTAACACCATTCCAGTTACCATAGCAAGCAGAACAAACTCCTGGCGATGAGCACATACTACATTTAGAATCACATACTGGAGTGTTGCAATCAGAGCCACCCCATCCAGTTTTACAAATTGAGCATTCTTTTCCATCCCAATTTCCAGTACACTGGATACAATTATTATTAGAAAAACAGCTCAAACACTTTGAATTACAGACGGCATTATCACAGTTTTGACCAGTGTATGTAGAGCATGTTTCGTTGATGATTTGAATTTCACTTGCAAGTAAGGCAATAGACTTTCTAATCTTTGCAAGTTGAGAAGCTCTAAGGGATGTACTTGTTGAATTTGCCTTAGTCAACAAAGCAATCGCCATTTCCAATTGTAAAGCTGAGCGTTCTAATGAAGCTGCTTCATTTTGCAAAGAGGTGAGCCATTCCCTTAGTGTACCATTTGAAGTTGCTGCTCCATCAACATTGGATGAACAATGTTGCAAGACGATTAGAAAGGCAACAAGCATCCCTAATACTAACCATGTTGAATAGCTACTGGTGTTGCAATAACGTGTTAACATTTTTTAAGGTTTTGGTTGGCAAGCGAAACAAACACTAGTGGAAGCAAAAAATAGGATTTTGAAGCTTCATAGAAATAATCGTGGTGGTAATAATCGATTTACAGTGATAGCTTAATAGCACACATCCAGTAATGAATCATCATGTTACTCACTAGGGTTCCGTTGGCTTTGTCTCTGGGAACGTAAAATGCGCTTGTTGAGAGGCCTTTCTTGCACCTCTCTTAGGAAAAATTCATGTTGGTAAAGCATCATCGGAACAATTACCATCACAGTTGTAATATTAATAATCGTGGTGGTGGAAGGATCTTAATAACAAACATGCAGTTATAATGAATTATCGTGTTGTAAGAATGAGCTCTTGACATTCCGTGATCCGTATTGAGAAGTATTTTGCCCAAACTACAAAATAGCATCTATATCTTGATTTTGGCAAAGTTACTTCACTTTTTGCAATAAACAGGTAGTTGATGCAGAACAATACTAGATTGAAAGTTTTCCAAATTATCATATAAATCTGGCAGTGATGATGATTTTAGTGAAAATATTTGAATTAAAATATTACTATCAGATTTATTTCCACAAATATTACTATTATAATGATGATAAATAACAATGATGGTTGGTAGTTGTTACGATGATGATATAATAAAATTATTTCCAAATCATGATGAAGGATTAAATTTCAACAATTACTATTATTTAAATGATGATAGATTCAGATAGGGAGAGAAAACAATATTCATCAATTTACAAATACTTGATTCATCTATGCACGGTACAAAAATATTCCAATAATCTGAATTTCAATTTAATATTAATATAATCCTTCCTATCCCTTGTGATGAGTCTGTATTCAAATCTTCTTCCATTTCTGCCAGAGCAGTGATATAGAGATGCTGTGGTGAAACTACTCCAAGAATCAACCGAGTCGATGGACTGTTTGTTGCCAATATTTTTGAACCCATCATAAAAAAAATATTCAACATTCTTCTACTCAAGGAGGACATGATGATTTTTGGAGTGGTTTTACATCATAAAACCACCAAACTTTCACATCATCATCTCAACATGATCTATATAGTATTAATAATAGTAATTTTTATTGGTGGATTATGTTCCATCATCGGATCATTCACCAACATCATTATTGTTTTCCATCAATATAATAATAGTATTTGTGGAAATTAATTTTTAGTAATGTAATTTTGGTGAAATGTCAAAATTTTCACTAAATTCATCATCACTGCTGGATCTACTGGACAAGTTGGAAAACTGTCAATGTAGTATTGTTCGGAATGGTCAATAGTAGGTAAGAGAACTTTCTCTTACAATTTTGGTCAAGTTATGATAGGGATAGGTACATGTGAATTTTGAAAAAGTACATGGACCATAACTCAACATGTACTTCACCAACTTGAATCATGTCTTTTAGTACTACTATTTAAATAGATAATAAACATCATATTTATTATCAGATTTTCGTCATGTTGTCAATTTACCAAGTTCCGATATTTCATGCTACCAGAGTTGATTCATAGAATAATTACAAATCAAACAACAATAAAACAACAATTCATAATGTTTATTATGTTATTAAATGTACAAATTGTTTTTATCATGATCAGTATTAACCTATATTCATTTGAAATTTTCAAAACTTTCCACACAATCTGCAGCTCTATCCTTACACTTATCAAGTAATTTCAAAGCAACAATATCTTGCTTTCCAGTTGGTGATATCAGTTCATCCAAATATTCCTCCAACATGTTGCTGGCCTCTGCATATCTACTGGCAAAGAAAAAGAAACAAGCATCGTTATACTTTTTCCATCTATTCTTCTTCTTTTCCTTTGCATCTAATTCATACATCCATTCATCTTGGGAAACTGTGTTAATTTCACCCAATTCGAATACTTTCATTGAATCGTAGAGTCTAGATCGAGTGTGGGTAGTGAAATATGGATTAGAGAAATGCTGATCATTGACCAATTGGACAGTATCCACATATCTTACTTGGAATTTGTTTTCCACCTTTTCATATAAATCTTCGGTGATTAAAATTGGAATATCAAGCTCTTTGGCGAGGATGGTCATGATTTTGAGGTTGTGTTGTGAACTACCAATTATGGAGAAGGACATGGCTTGTTTGGTTCCCAAATTTCCACAATATGCACTCTGGCTATTGGCAACAATACGAAACTTGAAATTTTCGAAAACTTCCTCATCGTATTTTGAAACAATTGCATGATTCATCAATTTTGATTCCTTATAAGCATTAAGCTTGGAGAGTAGTGAGTGACACAATTGAATACCTTTCAATTCATGTTGAGATTGATCACTTGTTGCGTTTAAATGTATTGGAATGGTTTCGTCTTCAATTTGCCCAACTTGACCTGTCAATCTCACCAGCTTGACAATTACATCATATATTTCACTCAATATAGTGACTATTTCAGTTGGATTTATCACAACAAACCACTCATTTAATCCTTCCAAATAAATATTCAATAAGGTGACTTGTCTCTTATCCAAATATAAACTAAACATGTTGGCATTTGGTCCAGAATTTGCTCCACTCGAATTCTTACTCCTCAAATCACCAGATGATTGAGGATCATCGTGGTTAGATTCTTTTTGTGAGTAGGATTTGTTGTTTTTCGAAGATGAAGTTACATTCAAACTTGTTTCAGCTGTATTTGAAGTTTTCTTAAATGTTTCCTCTTGTTGATTTACATTATTAGCATCCAATTGAACTAATAGATGAGGAGGAATAAATTTTCTGTACAACTTAATCCTTTCAATCATTTCCTTGAAATGAAACTGTAAACTTTTCACTTCAGAAAATGACGACTTGTACAAATTGATATTTTCCAATTTCATTAGAGAAACCCATTCGAAAGCACTAATTAAATTAACAAATGGTCTCACAATTTTGAGTGAAAATATAATGGCCACAACAATACCGACAGAAACTATGAGTATGGAACCAACAACTGCCGAAACAATAGCAATAATCATCGATCCTAAATAATTCCATTGAGGAACGCTTAATATGATAATCCAATCAATTCCTTCCTTTGAACAAAATCTCTTAATTGATACTACTGATTCTGTCAATGATAAAACTCGTTCTTCATTGCAAGGAATTGAAGTTAATTTTTCAAAAGTATCATAAACTATTTTTCCAATTTTGGTAACTTGTCCTCCAAAAGTGGCAGTTGTTTTTCTTTCAACATTTCCATCCTTATCCACTATGGCCACACTCACTTCAGGATGATCACTTGCAATCACAAATTCCGACTGTGTTTCAATAATAAAAGAAGAACTCCCATGTATTGAAGTTGTAATGTCCACCAAAAATGTGGAAACTGACATGACAGTCATATCGTAGGCAAAATAATAGGAAAATGAAGCTCCTGGCTTGATTGGCTGCTGTCCAGTCTTGATGGACGAAACCATTGTCATGAATACAAAAGAAGGAAGTGATGGATCCACATAGGAAAGTGTGAAAACTGGATTGCCAGGATTCGTCGAAGCCATCTCTGCTACATAATTCGATGTGTACGGAGGAAATACAAATTCTGGTTCTGTTCCTCTATCACAATTTTCACTCGTATCAAAATTTTTACAAACAAAGTAAACTTGATTACAATTTGGTGTTAAATTGAAATAGGTTATTTCACCACTCAAATGTGCAAAACCAAAATATCCACCAAATGGATCACCAACATAGACTCCTTGTGTTACATTGGGTAAATTAGCTTGAGCAACTTTCATAGCTCGATGTAAGTGATGTTCAATCATGTTACTAAAATCAAAATCATAATATAGTTGAGATTTGACAGATTCTGTCACTAACAGCACATCATTAACTGTTTTCTTGGTAAATTGTATGATTTTATCAAATTCCTGAGCTCTCATGCGAGAGCTTAAATCCACAACTGCCGAACTAAAGCAACTAATCCAAATAATTGATAAAAAGAACACTGAAATGAGAAGAAGTAATGAAATGAGAAATATTAACAAAAACTTGATAGATCCACATAGGTATCGTCTCTCTTCTTGTAAATTCACTGCTTCTTCTCCTTCATTACTAGATAGATTACTGTTGTTGTCCTCCTTAGAGGCGGGGGTGATGTTATTTGCTTTATACTTGTTGTTGGTGAAGGAGATTCCTGCATTGTGAGAGGAGTCAATGCCGAACATGGGTGTTATTCTTGTCATTTTGTTATTTAGATATATATAATTGTGATGATGATGAAAATCCTTAATATTCTAAATATATATTCCTTAGTGGATGCTTCAAGAGCTTAGTTTTAATTTCTTAGTGGATGATGGTAATCAAACTGTAAACAATGTAGATACACGCCCAGTTGTGGAGTGTTCTGCAGCACTTTGTCTTCGGTTTTTTAAATGTTTAAATATGGTGGAGGTTATAACCATTTGTTGTGTGAAGTGAGCAATATTACAGTAGTCATGCATTCCTTCCTCCTCTGCAGCGAACAACAAACAAACACTCTCACTATCTTAAGGCCTGGTTTACACACAACGTTTTCTTGGAAGTTGATGCGCACTCACCTAATAAGGTGAATTTAAAGAACAACTGTTTTCATTGCCCACACAAACAGAGGAACCTAAGAAGAGCAGCAACTCTACTGCTATTAAATCCAAAGGGCATTATGAAGCTTATGTGTGGTATTAGAGTCATCTGGCCGACCAAGATGTATCTCACACAATTACTACAGCACTCTTGTTATATTATATAAATACAGGGAGAAATGCATCTTCTATTTGAAGGTTGCATTTGAATCAAATATTTAAGGAAACGAATTTGTAAGGAAGGTATTAATTCTGAATTTGGTTAGTTATGACGATGAAAATATATGAGCCCTTAATCTGGCTAATTCTCTAAAATAGTTTGTTGGGTAACTGTTATGAGACACTAATAAGGTTTAACACAACCATTAATAAAATTGAGCAAGTGTTGACTCGAATTAGGTTTTCATTTTGATTACATTTCAGTTACCATTTCACAACATTTTGCAATAAAATTCATTGCAGGTAAATCGTTTGGATTCTTCTCTAGATATTCCTTGAACAACATTGTTGCCTCGGGGAAGCAATTTTCCAAATACATTTTGGTTGCTTCGTTATACTTCTTCCACTTGTCCTTCTTTTCTTGTTGCTGTAATTCATACATCCATTCATCACTATCAATGGAGGTTGGTTCACCAATTTCATATATGTTGACCTTATTAAAATGTAAATCTTCATCTGCACATGGTTTTCCAACAACCTCATCTGCACAAATGCTACGCGAGTCTATCATTCTGGTATGGTAGGAATTACAAGTTATTTTCAATGGTTCTGAAATTACAACATTTACGTTCAATTCTCTGGCACATTCCAAGAGTGATTCCAAGTTATAATTGACACTTCCGAGTACTGTAAATGATTTTGCATCTTTGGTACCAACATTACCACAAGTTGTTTCTTGGATCGATGAAGCTAATCTGAATTTGAGTTGATTCAATATATGATTATTATGTCTGAATGTTTCCATTCCTTTCCACTTTTTTTCTCTGATTTGCTCCAATTTAGTATTGAGATTGGCAGTTGTTGAAATGGCTTTCTCAATATAATCTGCTTGATCCTTAGCTGCATTAAAGTAAATTAAAATAGTTGCATTCTCGAATGGACCTGTTTGACCTCCAGATGTCTTATTTACAATTGTAATTTGTTCGAAAACATCACTCAACAAATTGACAACATCTTGGTGATGTAAGTGGCTAATCCAATTACCCAATCCTTCTATTCTAAGAGAGGCAACACTAACCTTTCTCTTTTCCAAATAGAGTGCAAATCTATTTCTTACGTGGCCTTTTTCCATTGAGGCATGACTGGCAGCAGCCTTCTTCATACTGTTTCTTACTGATTTATCAGAAAGTCCATGATGCAAAGACCTAGCAGCCATTGATACACTTGACATACTAGTGGCATCATCATGTTCAATTTCAGCAGCTTCTGCATCGTCCATTTCTGAAAGTAAGTGAGCTGGAATGAAACTTCTGTACTTTTCAATGGAGGAAACCATTTTCATAAAGTGATATTGTAAAACTCTCACTTCCTTAAAACTAGTCTTGGAAATTGAAAAACCATCCAATTTCATGTTGGCAACCATTTCGAATGCAGTTATCAAGTTTTGGAATGGTTTCACAATTCTTACTGACATCAAGACTGCAATCAAAATTGAGACCAATGTAATGATAACTCCACTTCCAATAGCAATTACAATAGCAATTATCATTGTTCCAATATAATTCCATTGAGGTACAGAAAAGACAATCAACCAATCGATCTTTGTATCTGTACAATATCTATAGACAGAGACATATCTCATTGATCCGGAAATAACAGCTCCACTGTTGCATGGAATCTTAGTAAAATCAGGAAAGGCATTATAGACCATCTTTCCAATTTCAACAGTTTCTGGATCTTCAAAATTCAGAGCAGTCTTTCTAGATTCCTTTCCATTAGCATCCCATTCAGCAACACGTGCATCTGCTACATCAGAACTGATAATATATCCAGTTTCAATTTCAATTGTAAAAGCCTTAGATCCTGAAATTGCTGATGTAAAATTTGTCAAATACTTTGAAACTGAACCAACACTCATATCATAACCAAGGTGGAATGAGTAAGGATAGGTATTATTTGTTGATCCAGCTGGATTTGGATAACTTGTAATGAGTGTCAAGAATGTAATTGATGGCAAGGTCTTGTCAGCATAACTCAAAGTAAATACTGGACCACCAGGACGTTTCAAAGCAGTATACGAAACAACGTTGGAAGAATAAGCAAATGTGGTTGAAGGAGTATTGTTTCTTTGACATGAATCAAGTTGAATGTCTTTACATGGATACAAACTAATACCAACACCACGAATTAAATCAAAATACATGTGATCTTTTCCAATGAGTAGCATTCCACCTTCCCATCCAAATGGTTCGCCAATATAAATAGCTAGAATGAGATCAGGATGGAAGGTCAATATTTCTGATCTGTACAAAGAATAAGTCAATTGCTCCAACGTTGAATCCAAATGAAATGGTCTTTGATTGTCGATCTGAACTTTGGCTGTTTCTAAAACCATGGTCACTTCATTCATGGTTTGCTTAATGTGGGATACAATACGATTGAACTCTGCATCTCTTACTTGGGAAGAGATGACTGAAACTGTTGGACTGAAGCAACTAATCCAAATGGATGATAAAATTACAACACTGTGTCGGTTACAAAATCATTGATTAACACCAATAAAGAATAGGGTACAAACCTCATTAAAATAAGCATACTTGTCATGAATATCAAGCATGTCTTGATAGAGAAGAGTTTCAGAGCTTGACTAATATCAGAGTGTTGCTGATTCTTATTGGCAGCATCTTTTTGTTGTTCATCTAGAAGTGGTGATACTTTTGTCATCTATTGTGCTGATGTTTTTTTGTATGTTTGAAATGCGTTCAGTAACTCAAGACAATCATGAGCGGGAGCTTGATATTCTTATTAGGAATGAAGTTGCGATGTTAATGGTTCGTGACAATTGTCATCTCTCAATCAAACTGAAACTTGATAGCAAATGATGTACAGTCAATTCTTAATGCATATCGTACGATATGATAGGGCCTGAAGTTTCTGATACAATTGATATTAGGATTTTCCAAATTCTTATTATTATTAATAGGTCGAGATGATGGGAATGGAAATATAATCAACCGTATCTCTTGGAGGGTTTTAGTTTTGGCAATAGATGTTCCATAATTTGTTAAAAGACCATAAGTCATTTAGTGAACCACTCAAAGCTTTGATTAGAATAAAATCGAGCATTGTATAAATGTTTCTTGGAATTGCAATAGAAAGCGATGAGAATGGAAATGCAACCATTTTTCTATCCAAAGCAAATCTCTATTAATAACCACTGTCTATTGTGGTGAACATTGATATTAAATCTGCCAACAATAATCACAAAAAGCACAACAGCATGCAGTGGTTAGTGAGTGTGCGAAAGAATCATGATTCCACAATGGAAATGTTGGAATATTTGAGTAAATTAAAGTGTAATGAAATCGTTGGATAAATTGATGGATTTAGGAGATGATTTGATTATGACGATAATTATCAGAAAGTAATTAAAAGTATTCGTAAATCCATAGCATATCTGTCCTCTGAAGAGCAAGATATGATTGACACTGAATATCTCACATCTACCCTAGTAGTAGTTCCAAACCCCTTCAACAAGAATGGCTTCATCTTTGGTCCTAACAACAACAAGAACAACCAAAATGAATCTTCCTTCTGTCCAATACTCATCCAATCCGATGTTGAAAATTCCCCCAACAAATGAAGATTCTCTCTGAATGTATTCCACCACCAGGAATGAAAGAAAGATTGCCAAAATTTGATGAGTCATGGTGGAACCTGCATGTTTTTCTGGACAACATTCCATCAATATAACTAGTTCCTAAAAGGAAAGATGAGCCTTGTATAATATTAATGAATGCCATCATGAGCAATTAATTATTTTGTGTTTGATGGATGAAGAAAATAATAAACCATTGAAATCATCGGGATGACTACTGATGTTACTGATGAACAATAAAATATTTCTTTTGAATAATTCTATGTTAAACAAAATCATCAGCATCTTGACATTTTAGTCAATTTAAAATTTTCCATTTTTTTTAAATAATTGGAAAAAATCTTTATCTTTGTGTGAGAGAAATTAAAGAATTGTAAAGAAATTGTAAAGCTGTTTGTAAATTCAGTTGATTAGAATCTTTTGTTGACAGGTTAAACTCATCAAGTCGCTTAATGCGCAACTGGAAGCTCATCTTTCCATTACACTGAATCAGTGTTACTACTTGATGATTTTTGATCATTTGTGGACTTTCCAACAGAAAAAAAATGTTAAAAAGTTCTAAACTTGTGAACAAACAAACTCTTGCACTCTTCTCTTCCATCACAGCTGCAAGATCTTTTCACACTCTTTCTCCTCTCCTTGATTCCAAACCTTCACTCGATTCCAAACTAATCATTGAGAAAGTATTAGAAAGATCAAAATGGGCTCCTTCAGGTGATAACGTTCAACCTTGGCGTTTCGAAATCCCTTCACAACTTTCCAACTCTTCCACTCAATTCACGATCCACAATTTCGATACTCGTTCTCATTGTGTTTACGATTTACGTGGAAGTGCAAGTTGTATTGCTTTGGGAGCTTTATTGGAGAATATCGAGTTGAGTTGTGGGGAAATGGGATTGAGTGTTGAGTTTTCTGAACCCCGAGTACATGAGAAGGATGACAGTAGAGTAATCGTTCAAGTTTCAATTAGAGATTCGAATGAAAATATTAGAAAGGATGACTTGTCAGAATTCATTGAAAAACGATGTGTCAATAGAAGACCATTTTCAACCAAGGCACTCACTCCTCAAGAAAAGCAGGAATTTTCTCAAAGTGTTGCTTCTTTAGGTTTTTCCTTGCTTTGGAAAGAGTCACCAATGGATCGTTTCAAAACTGCTCTCTTTCTCCAAAAGAATGGAAAGTTAAGACTCATCACTCCAGAAGCTTATGCAACCCATAGCACCATCATTGAATTTGGAGTCAACCAGAGTAAAGATAGAATTCCATCTCCAGCAGTTGGTTTGGATCCACTTGGTTTATTCTTTATGAAATGGGCATTGGACGGAGGTTGGAAGAGAGTTGATTTTCTGAATAGATTCATGGGTGGAACTTTATTGCCAAGATTGCAGATGGATTTATTGCCTGGATTCTTCTGTGGAGGCCATTTCATGTTGGTTGCAGAGAAGGAGGCAAAGGACATTAATGATTTTATTAAGGTTGGAAGAGCTTTACAAAGACTTTGGTTGACTTCAACGAAATTGGGATTGCAATTTCAACCAGAAGCTACTCCTGTGATATTTTCAAATTATGTGAGAAATGGAGTTGAGTTTTCCGAGAAGGAAGAAAGTAGAGAGCTAGCCAAGTCAATCGAAAAGACTTTGAATGAGATGGTAGAAGGTAAAGGCAAGAACACTGTATTTATGGGAAGAGTTGGCCATGGAAAAGCACCACCAGGTAGATCAATTAGAAAATCACTTAATGAACTCTTATTGGATCCAGCAAGTCAATAACATGATTGACTTATTTGTATTTTTAACTCGATAAAATGTTTTATTTTCATTGTAATGTTGATATTTGATTTAATTGAAAATAGTTGAAATTAAACAAATGATCAAGGTAACAATTAACAATCCACTTGTTTGCCAATTAGCACCTTCAGAAACCTTATAATTTGACGATGCAGCCATAATGGATGAGGCATTAATTCCATCTTGTAAAATCAAATCCATAGTATCTACATAAATTGTAAATTGACTATTCAATGCATTCTTGAATCCTACCATTGTAATTTCAGATGGAATTGCAGAATTATTGGCAATGAGCATGCTTACTTGTGTCCATGAAGTGGAAAGTGCTGGTAATTTCATTGGATTCGTTTCGTCTCCATTGATGACCCAATAAATACTCGAGGCAGCAATAGAACTAGAGGCTCTTATGGACATATTGATGGATTTAAAATAAGATTTCAATAATTTGACATCTCTTCCAATATTAATTCCACCATAACCACTTAAAGAAATTTCCCAAACAGCTTTGTGTGAATTTAGACCAGTAACTGCAGTAGAAACATAATTTGTGGTACCACTCCACAAAGCCATTTGTCTCCAATCTGAACCAGTAGTTGGTTTGAGAGTATTTTGATAAGGATCCAACTTTTCTCTATAAATTACCAAATTGGGTAATGAAATACACATGGAACCAGATGAATAACCTGACAATTTGGTTAAAATCTTGAAATTTGCACTTGCATCCACAATAGTTCCCTCAGCAGGTGTTGAACTAATCGTCATAGTGACCACTTCATCATAAATACTTGTAATTTTCAATACCATTGGCATTTTAAATGCTCCACTACTTGCTTGAATTTCAAAAGTATTGTAAGAAGTTTTTGTAATACTTCTCTCAGTTCCACCACTTTCTGTAATTGTAATGGTATCTTTCATTCCAACTGTAAAATCAAAGAAAAAGATGGTCATCCAATTTTGACTACTACCTTTTCCAATATATCCTCTCAATGGATAAGCTTGATTTGTACTAGGATTGACAGAAATTGGACAACTGACTTTTCTATAAATTGGATTAAAAGTATTGGAAAATCCATTTGCAATAGCTTCCCAAGCTCCATTATTACCATTTGTAAGTAAATCGAAATGACTTGAATGATCTCCATTAATGGAAGTTTTTCCACTACACCATTCAGTGTTGGACGAAGTTGGACATGAATCAATGACCATTAGAATGGCATTTGTTCCGTATGGTCCCACTACTTGGAAACATTCACCACAACTTGCTCTGAGTAATAAATCTGTCATCTTTAACCTAATAATTGATGATAAAATTATATTCGAAATGCTGATGAAAGTGGTGGAAACTTACCAAGGTTCGTCCGGAGCGAAACCTCTATAAACAGGAATGGTATTTCTCCATTGTGCTGTTGGTACTTGATCGTAACCACACATAAAAGTAGTTCCTGTGTAATGTGTTGCAGAACCATTATAACATTGTGTCATGACACTTTGACCAGTGACAAGTTGAATAATTAACAAGAGAAACGGCAAGATGATGAATAATTTCATTTTTTTCATGATGAATTTTCTAACGAACTGTCCGATCACTTTTCGTTACGATAATTACCATCAAAAATTACCAAATGAGTCGAATAAAGAGAAATTACAAAATAATTTATTTTAATATAAAAAAAAACCATTTTCCACAATCCCATTTTGCTCCAATAAATAGCGAGTCATATTCTTTGCATAATTAAAAGTAGCATCTTTTCAATTCTTTCCTTTTTATCTAAAATATTTTTTAATGTTAAAGAAAAAAACAAAATTTTTAACAAAATTTTTCAAAAATTCAAAAAAAATGTCGACAATAAAACCTCAACAACTCCACTCGACCATTCAAACCGAAAGACACAAAGGTGAGGATCAAGGGCTGACGGGAATGCTGTTAAAGAAAATTTTGGCACACTTTGAAATGAAGAAGATTGAAAATCCGAACGGATTTGAAGAATTTCTACGTGATTATATTGTGAATATGCCTGAAGACTCGATAAAGATATTCTTTTCGTTTAAGGAGGAAGCTAAATCGGAGGAATGTAGAAGGATATTGAAAGAATTTAAAGAACATCAACAAGCTGTGGAAGAAATTATGAAGGAAGAAGAATCGGAAGAAAAGAAAAAGAAGAAACAAAACAAGTAATGAACAACCTCATCATTCATAGTATCATCATGATTGTTTTTTGTTTTTTAATTTTTGGAATTTATTCATCATCATCAATTAATTAATTATTTACTTTGATGTAGGAAATTCTCTTATAGTTTAAAACCCTTTAGAACCACTCTGGATCCAATAATGATGATTCATATTTTGCACCAGGAATTTCTTCACATCCAGTAATATTAAGACTTTTCAATTGACTCTTCATACAAAGTAGCACTTCACGGTCATTTTCTGAAATATTCAAACCTTCAACATTGAGCTCCGTTAGTTGTTTCATCTCACTAATGATTTTCACTCCTTCCTCATTTATACCATTATCGCCAATGTGAAGAGCTTTCAATTGTTTCATTTCACTCAAAGGTTTCACACCTTCTGAGGTGATAAAATTATTGGAGACAAAGAGCTTGGTCAATTTTGGATATTTACTAATCAATTCAAGTTCGTTATCACCAATACAGGTATTAACCATACTGAGCCAAGTCAAGTTATTGAATTTACCTATAGCTGCTCCACTGAGATTGTGTGAAACATCTAAATAGGTCAATTGATCCATCTTTGAAACTTCTTCCAGAGCACAACTTCCACAATCCACAAAACTCCTCAATTGTGTCATATTACGGATTGCCCTCATTCCATCCTCTCTAATCATATTATCACTAACATCCAAATTTGTCAATTTCTTCATTCCACTCAAGTGAATTGCTCCTTCATCACCAATGTTATTACTCCTAATGATGAGTGATGTTAAATTTTCCATTTCACTAATATATTTGGCACCTTCAGTACCAACATTATTGAAAACTAGAATTAACTTTTCTAATTGCTTAACTCCACTCACTAATTTAGCACCTTCTGGACCTATTTGTTGACTGCTAATGTTCAATGATGTCAGATTATTCATTCCTTGTAGAGCTCTGTAAAATACTTCTCCATAAATTGCATTATCATCCAACTTGTAGATCATTAAACGATGAATATTTCCCAAGAATCTACTTTGAAGCATTTGATTAGCTCTTTCATCATTCATTTCCTTCCAAAATGCCAAGTATAATCTGCTACGATTTCTAATAACATTTAGCCATTGTTTTGAAACGAGAGAACATGCATTGATGATACTCCAAGATTCTTCAATGAAGGATAATATTTCAAAACAAACATCATCAGAAAATACCTCACAATCACGATCAGCAACCTGAATTTGAGACATTTTTTTATAGTTTGAAAAGTTCATACTTCCATCAAATGAACTTTGTCAATCGATGCATTGCAATTCGTTGTAATGTAATAATAAATAATATTTAACTATTTAAAATGTGAATATATTAAATTTTCCAATAAAATTAAGAAAATTGAATTTCAGTTACAAAAAAAATGTCCAAACGTAAAAAAGATTCCATCATTGTTGATGAAGATGAAGAAGAAACAAGACAACCACGAGTTGATCATCAATCGGAAGAAGAATTTTCAGATATAGAAGATGAAGATGACTCACCTCCGCCTCTTTCAGATTCCGATCATGATGATGATGACCACAATCATGATCATCGGAATAAAAAGAAGAAGAAGGATTTGAGTAAATTAAAATTGCAAAAACCAAAAAACAAAACGCTGGATTTTAATGTATTTTTGAATAGAATTAAATCATTGCAAATTGATTGTGAGTGTTTGAATGAGATGAGAGATGTTGATCAGTTGCCGAATCCTTCATCAAAATACTTGTTGAATTCGTGTAAATTGAAGAATCATCAGTGGCAAGCTGTTTCTTGGTTGAAGAGTTTATTGTTGGATAACAAGACGCATGGTGGAATATTAGGTGACGATATGGTATGTTTCTTCTTATTCTAAATTGGAAATTTAAACTAATTGATCAACTATTTAAATAGGGTCTTGGTAAAGTAAGTAATCAAAATTTTGGAGTGAATACGATCGTGTAATAATATAGACTTTGGAGGTGATTAGTTTTTTCTGTTATTGGATGGAAAGTACTGACAAGGAAAGTTCAAGGAAACCATTTCTAATTGTTTCGCCATTGTCATTGATTGAAAATTGGTGTTTGGAATTTAACAAATTTTGTGGAAATTCTGTTCGTGTGTTGAGATATCATGGAAATCAAGAAGAACGTGCAGAATTGCAAGATACTTTGAATGAGGAGTTTGCGGAGAGTGGAGAATTTCCATATGATGTTATTGTTACATCATATGAAACAGTAACAAATGATGAAAGTTTTCTTTCTGGTTTCGAATATAAATGTCTTTGTGTGGATGAAGCTCACAGACTGAAAAATCCAAATTCAATCCTTTACAAGGCCCTCCAACAAATCTACAAGTATGAAAGAGTCATTCTCATGAGTGGTACTCCATTAATGAACAATACAAAAGAACTGTGGGCTCTCCTATATTTCTGTGCTCCAACTTACTTTGATCATTTATTCGAAACATTTGACAGCTGGTTCCCTCAGCAATGTTTCCTCTCCAAATCAACTTTGAAGAAATCCATCTCTGAGAGTGTAGATATTGAAGAAGATATTGATGAAAATGTTGAGGATGTGGATGCTGATTCTGTGAGGAATAATTTCCAAATTGTTCTCAAGCCATTCCTTCTTAGAAGAACAAAGAATCAAGTTCTCAAGAATGATCTTCCTCCAAAGGAAGAACACATCATCTATACTAGGTTGACAACTTTACAAAAGAAATTCTACAAGGGTTTCCTCATGGCTGATAGAAATGCTATTGGTAAGAAGAATTCTAGAGGTCTCAGCAATGTCCTAATGAGTTTACGTAAATGTTGTGATCACCCCTATATGTTTGAAGGAGCAGAAGAAGAACCATTTGTTGAAGGTGAACATATTGTGAATAACAGTGGTAAAATGATTATTTTAGACAAACTATTGAAAAAGCTCAAACAAGAAGGGCACAAGGTTTTGATCTTCTCTCAAATGACTCAAATGTTGGACATTTTACAGGACTACTTTTCTTTCAGAAAGTGGAATTATGAACGACTCGACGGTTCTGTCAGAGGAGAGGAAAGATTTGAAGCAATTAAGAGTTTCACAGATAAGGATGTGTTTGTCTTTTTGCTCTCCACTAGAGCAGGAGGTGTTGGTTTGAACTTGACCAGTGCGGATACAGTTATTTTTATGGATATGGATATGAATCCTCAAATGGATTTACAAGCTCAGGCCAGATGTCACAGAATAGGTCAAGATAAGCCAGTAACAGTTTACAGATTGGTCACTGAAAGCTCAGTAGAAGAAGTAATCTTGAAAAGATCAATGAAAAAGATTGCTCTATCCATCAATACTATTGATACATCATCTGCCGTTTCGAATGCATTTGATTCAAGCTCTGATGAAAAACTCTCTTCCGATACTATTATGGAAATGATTTCATTTGGATTACACAAAATTATGGACTCTACCTCTGACGTCAGTGCTGAAGAATCAGATGAAAAGCTTCTTGGTATCACCATTGATGAATTATTAGCCAAGAAGGGACCTAAGAGATTGAGTTTATCTTTAGAAAGTGCTGCGGAGAGTTTACAAGATGTTGAATCTGGATCCATTTACATGTACGACGGAATTGACTATCGACCAAAGACAACTTCATCTTCAAAGGATGTGGAGGCATTACAAAACTTGTTGGGAGATGCTGGCATTGATCTATGTTCTCAAAAAACAGATCACCATACTAAATCTAAGAAAAAGAAGGCAGCTCCAAAGAAGAAACCAAAGAAGAAAGAAGTTGAAAAGGACGAATCTCTCATATTATCTCCTTCAGATGATGAAGACGATGATGGATACATTTCACCTATTTCAACCAGAACAAGAGGTTCCAAAAGAAATGCAACAACCAAGAGAAGAAAGATTAAAACTAGTGATGATGAAGATGAGGAATCTGAGTATGATGAATTTGATCCACATTTGATTGAAATACCTGATGATTGGGAATTGGACCTTTATCTAATGGAAAAACAATTCAACAAGGAAGAAGATGATGAACCATTCTCTCCAATCACTTCCGACAGTAATACTATTCAATATGTGAAAGGAGATGTTACTCAACCTGAAAAATATGAACACTCAGGTACTAGATTTATTGTCAAGTAAGTATTTTTATTCACAAACAAGATAACAATTTCAACAGTGTTATTTCAGATTTTGGACAATTTCCAAATGCTGGTATTTCTAAACATATTACCAGCAAGTACGGGAAGAAAATCAAGCTAATTTATGAAAATGCTTGTGAACAGGATCTTATCTCAGTCGGTGAGGCTCAACTCACTCCTGTAAAGAGTAAGAAGGGATCAACCTATATTGTAAATGTAATTGCTCAACACTATGAGAAATCAAAGGGTCACGGTCCAATTATTAATAGTGCTCTAGAGATTGCCCTAGCAAAAGTCTGTTACTCTGCTGTCACAATGGATGCTACAGTGCACATGCCTAGAATTGGATTTGGAATTCAAGGTTTTGATTGGTATTCAACTGAAAGAATTATTAAGGTTTGTTTGCTCTTTACATTTTAATTAATTTACAATAATATTTTATTAGAAATGCCTATTGAAAGCCAAAGTCAAAACATATATATATTACTTTGATAGAAGTGGGTCTTATTCTAATTGGAATAAGCAACCACAAACTCAACAACACAAAAGCTCAACAAGTTCAACACCAACAAAATCTAATAGTAAAGCTCCTACATCAACTCCAACAAGAGCTGCAAACACGCCAACAAGAACCGTATCAGCTTCTCCAGCTCAAAAGCAACAAGCAGCAGAAGATTCTGCTAAGGATGACCCTCTAGAAGGCATGAAAATCTATCTATTTGGAATGGAAAATAAGAATAATAGAAAGTTGAAAGGATCTATAGCTTTGAACGGAGGAATTATTACTAATGAAATCAAGTCTTTGGATATGATTATTGTAAATAGTGAAAATCAATTGGCAGAGATTGATCATGATGAAATTGAAGATCAAGAAACAACTCTCACTAGGAAATATATCAAGGAGAATCCACATTGCACAGTTGTAACTGCTCAAAGCATTCTTGAAATGATTGGTAATTAAATTTATTTCTTTCTTTCCAGCATGTTAATATTGTACTTTTTAAGAATGTCACTATAGCATCTAATAACAGCCTTATAAACAAATTCATACTGGTGTTCTGTCTGTACCATACCAGTCCTGTGTTCTTTGAGCTTTTTAACAATATTGAAAATATTGAAAGGGAAAGCAGGAATGTTAGACATACGAGAGGAGGTTGGAGGACTGACAGTATTTTGATTTTTCAAAGAGTGTACATGTTTAAAAATGTGAGCTCTGAATTGTTTCAAAGCACAATCAACAGCACAAAATGTTCCTGTTCTACCAATACCTGCAGAGCAGTGAACAACAATAGGTCCAACTGTATCCAAAACAGATTTTCCTAAATGTGATGGCAAAATGGTGTTTGAAGCTAACAGAGGTGACAATGACAAGATATCATTCTTTCTCTTCTCAATTAATTCATTGACATGATCAATAACTTTTTGGAAAGTAGAAATTTGAGATGGAACACTCTGATCTATCCATCCAACATATTGAAGAAGGTGAATCTTTCTTGTATCCAAAACTTCCTCGTCATCAGAATTAACCTTAGTTCTCTTCAGTTTGATAACGAGTGCTCTTTGAACAAGTTCCTTTGGCATAATCCACTTGACTGGTTCTTCGTCATCACCATGTTCTCTCTTTGGAATGGTAATTTCAAGTCTCCATTTTTGCGTGTTAGAAATGGTCTTTGGAGGGTTCACATCAATAATGATCGAATCAGTAGCTCCATTCTTCATACCAGGAATAGTTAACATATTTCTTGGAGAGACACCATCCAGAGAAGATGAAGTTGTCAGAATTGAAGACAATGTTAAGGAATTGGCAGTTGGAGAAGGAGTAGGATAATAGATGGCACACTTGACACCAGTTTCTTCCTGTTCACGACCAATCATCAACACAATGTGAGAGTTACTCTGATAAATCATTCTCCAAAAATGAGAAGCAGAATATGGAAGAGGACCTTGTGTACAAATATAATCAACCATATTCACCTTCTCTGCTAATTCTTCCCTTTCCTTTCTATTGTTGCTATAGTTGGTATTTGGGCTATCAGAGTTGGAACCGGTAATACTGAGTGGAGAGGTATTAATTGAGAATTCATCCCAATTAAAGAGAAATTCCTTTCTTGTCTTTATCAAATTGGCATTAATGTAATCTTCTTCCCACGAGGATAACAATTCTGCATTTGGAGATACCACTCTGTTATTCTGAGTATTGTTAGTAGTATTATTGGCACTGTTATTTGTTGTTGTTGTACTATTATTGATAGTATTACTACTTGTAATAGATATTGAACTTGGTTTTGGTTGTGTTGGTGTCTCAGTATTAATAGTCAATGGATTAGCCAACAGTGCAAAATTGGAAAAAATTTGTTGAGAGGAAAAATTCATGTGCATTACTGGTCCTATACCCTTGTAGAGTTTAAATCTAGTATCTTCGTTAGGTAAAACATTACTGTATCTATTCATATCCATATATTTGAGACCTGTTCTGAAATATAAACGTTTGTGAAGCCAAGTAGTCATATCAATTTCCTCCAATTCTTCAAACTCTTTCTCTAATTTTTGACATTGGTGAGAAGAGGTATTTTCAAAGAGTAATTCCAAATGTTGACGAACATATTCTGGATCAGCAAGTTGCGAGTTACAAAATTCATCGTCTGAGCTCAAAACATGACGTTCCAAATTGAAAATTGAAGGTTTTGAAGGAGTGCTCTTATTGTAGTGATATGGGTTGGCTCCACTTTTCAGTGTGGAAGGCATCATGAAGGATACTGATTTAGTATTATTAGGACTTCTTGGAGAATATGTAGGTGCATTTGAAGTATTTCCTACGGTCAAAAATTGATTATTGTTGGATGATTTGTTGGAATCATCACTACGTTTGGTTTGTTTTTGTTGATGAGATGAAGAAATGTTGAGTTTACCGAGAGGTGAGTCTGAACCATCATCAGTCATGGCTCGTTGGTTTCCAAGTTGTTTAGAAGTTGAAATCAATAATTTCTGTTGGGAAGGATGTTGGCTTTTGAAGGTTTTGATTTGAAGATCATCGTCATCTATCATCATTGGATCTGAAGGTTTTCTGGTTGAAATGCTCAATCCCAAATCATCATCATCGAATTGAGTCACTACGGAGGCCCTCTTTTCATGATGAGGCTTGGTTTTAATTGCTGGTAGCTCATCATCATCGTGACCAAGATTACTAGTGACACACTTCAAGTCATCTTCCTCATCGTCAGAATAAACTTGAGTGTCAACATCTTTGGAGAAGCTGATACCTCTTCGGTGCAAGTAGACTTGGTGTGGCTGTGTTGCTGTTTTTGTTCTATTCAGGTTGAGAGTACCTAGGTTGAGGTCATCTTCATCATCATTTTGAGACATTTTGGTATGGATAGAAGATGGTAACTCCAATTGATCTACATGTTGATTACTAGCTCCTGTCTTGCCATGGTGTTGGTTGTGGTGCATCTCGTAACTATTCACCAAGTTGGAACCAATTCTCTTTGGTGTAATCATGAAAGAGTGTTGCATCACTGAGGTTAGCTTTGCCTTCTTGCTATTCCCATTCAGAGCACTCAAATCCAACATTGGAAACTTGTTAGTGTGTGAAGTTGTTGAACAAATTGAAGAGGAATGACTTGTGGAGAGGGTTTGCATAGTAGTGTCATCATCCTCCATATCATCATCTTCATCCATATTATCGCTTTCATTAGAGTAGTATCCAACAACGCCAGGACCACCAATAACATCCTCAGTTTGTCTAGTCGTCTTGTGGATGACCACTTCCAAGTCATCCTCATCATCCTCTTCATCATCCACAATAACCTCCTCAGCAACAGAATCGATACCCATCATGATATCTTCTGTTGTAGTAGTAGTAGTGGTAGCCTTGTTCGTTCCACCTGGAGTCAGAGCAGAAAGAGGACTTCTCAATGATGATGAAGACGATGTATGATTGGAAGCAGGAGATCCCACAAAAGGCTTGGTTCTCTGCAATGGAGAGGAAGCGCTATTACCACCAGAATTATCTATATTATTATTATTATTCGCATTGTTCTTTAGCCTTTCGACGTTATTGTTGTTGTATTGTACTTGTTGTTGGAGAGAATTTGAAGAAAAATTATTTACAGCTGCGGCCGTTACCGAATTATTGTTGTTTTTTTTGGAGGGAAAATCATCGTTGCGATTAGAAGAAGAAGAAGATGTATTGATTATCAACAATTCATCTTGTTGTTGTTGTTCAAGTGAATGTGTCGGTTTTTTGAGTGGTGTTGTGAGTAGAGTGGGTGGATCTTCATCTGTCAATTCATGATTGACCATCATTTTTTTTTAATGATACTTGAAATTTTGCTTGACAAGTTTAGCTAAAATAACACTATTTCAGTGACAGTTGTTGGTTTCTTGATTTAAAGAGTGTATTATGATAAACAATACACAACTTCCAATACATGGTGATGAACAATTGCATACAATTTCACTTCATTCCTTTTGAGTAAGAGAAGAAGAAGAGAAAATTGGATTTTACTTTGTATTGAGAGTGCTCTCTTTTGTATCTTTTTTGTGTGCTATTGAGAGAATAAGGTTGCCTATGAAGCTTCTTATGTTGTTGCACTTCTTCATATGAAGAAGGAGTAGAATGGAGGAGTTTGACCTGTTGCGAAGGAAATTGGTAAAAGTAGGAGTGAGATTTATCGAGGCGGACTCATAGCGTGGAGTGATTTATTGGAAAGGAATGAAACAAGAATGATGTGGTATTGTTTTGGAATTTCTAATATTACAACAATTTACTTTCAGATCTTGATTGTAATATTTCTTCCATCTACAAATTAATATTTATTATTGCTTGAATTTTATATTTAATATTATTATTATTCCATCCACATAGAAAGGATTATTCTGCGCTTATTAACACCTCTTATTCTCCTCCTTAAATCACATATCAGGAAATTGTTTATTAATATCAATTTTCATCATTTAATGTTTATTTAAAAAAAATAATCAACACAACAACTCTCATCATCTTCAACATGTCCTCTTCAAAGGTTGAAACTCTTGCCAGTCCTTTCAATTCCGAATGGAAAATGTTGCGAATTACCAGTCCAAATGGTAAAAGCCAATGTGATGTTCATTTGCATGGTGCTCATCTTACAAGCTATCGTTGTACATCACCAAATTCTTCCGAAGCTTTAAATGATGAAGTGATATTTGTCAGTGAGAAGGCAATCTTTGCTACTGATAAAGCCATCAGAGGAGGTGTTCCTATTTGTTTCCCACAATTTTCTGATAAAGGACCTCTCTCGATGAGTCATGGATTTGCTAGAAATGTCTTGTGGGAAGTTGTTGATCAAAAGATTGGATCATTGGAAAGTGTAGGAACACTCAAAATGATCAAGAGTGGAGCTTATAGAGGACAAAACAAGGATATTGCTAAAATGATGGCTGATTATGATGGATTGGATGTTTTCTTAATTGTTTCATTGACTGATAATCATTTGGATATGTCATTGAAGGTTGTGGATGCAACTAATGGACAATCAACTAATTGGGATGTTATTAGTTCCTTCACTTTTGCATTCCACAATTATTTCAGAATTGGAGATATTAGAAAGGCTCATATTGATGGTGTTCACAATAATCACCATCATGTACAATATGTAGATAAGATCAACAAGTCAGCAACTATTATTGCACCATCAGAACCTATTGTCATTTCCGAAGAAGTTGATAGAGTTTATTTGGACATGTTGGATGATATTCGTAGTGTTATTGTTGATGAATCAGGTGATTCACACACTACAAGAGAAATTCACATTGATCAACAAGCTAATACTGCTCAAAATGTAGTGGTGTGGAATTTGTGGCAAGAAAAGTGTAAAAAGATGGCTGATATGAAACCAGAGGATTATGAAAAGTTTGTCTGTGTTGAAGTTGGTCAAATTCAAACACCAATCAAATTAGAAAAGGGAGGTGAATTTGTTGCCACTCAAAGAATTTATTCTGCTTATAAGAATAATTCTAAATTGTAAATTTATTATTACTTTATTGGAAGATAGAGTTTATTTTAAATATTTATTGGACACATTTAAATAAAACTTTACCCTCTATTCGGAATATTAGGAGTACCAGACATATCACCAGTGGGAATAGGATAGGTAATATTCAATATTTGTGAATTAATCTTATTACACAAGCGATCTGCTAATGAATTCCTCTTTAAGAATGCACCATTTCCACTGAAACACCTCTTAAATTGGCACTCATCTCCATAATATTCACTGCTGGTACATTCACATGTATCTGGTCCTTTACAACTTCCTCTATTGTTACAAGGTTTAGTAGTTGCCATTCCATAAGGATCTGGCAATATTCCAAAACAATAATATGTTTCACATCTGGATCCAAAATATCCACTATTGCATTTGCAGGTATCTGGTGCAATACACACTCCTCTTCCACTACAAATTGCTCCTCCTTCCACAGGAATACAAACTGGAGTGCTGCAATCAGATCCAGTCCAATAGGAGTTTTCACATTGGCACTGATTTTGGGAAATGCAATAACCTTTTCCGTTACACACAGTTGGATCTGAGAAATTCTTTCCATTACAAGTATATGAAGGAACTTCAACACCAATGCTTGTGAAACCATTTCCAACAGCAATCATTCGAGGCATTCCACCAAGTTTTACAGGTGAGAAGATCATATTTGCAGTAAGGGTAACTTCATCCAATCCATAGACAGTAGAGATTTGATTATAATAATTTGATCCAATTGCATAAACCTTTCCAACATTTGTGATAAAGTAATAAATGTCATCTTTGGCAAACACATCAGAGCAAGACTCCATATAGGTATAGAAATATTGCCATGGACCCTTATTGTCCCCAGAGAATCTGTATGCAAACCCGCCAGCTTCACACGCGATTGGATAGGTTCCTACAGCCAATTTGGTAAAATTTTTAGTTGTTGGATCAAGTTGTTGAAATTCAGTAATTGGAGAAGGACCATTTTTGCTTATTTGTTGTTGTTCATTTGATCCCTTTCCCCAAATATGACCAGCATCTGTCAGGACAAATGTTGTCTGTTTTCCTGCAACTACCTTAACAATTCGTTCTCCTGCTTCCTGAATTACTGTTGTACTAATGTTCAACAATTCAGAATAAGATACATCCAAAGGATCCAATTGTCTTTTTGAATTGTCACCTGAACCCATCAAGTAACCACCTCTTGTAAGATAGACAGTATGATCATAACCAGCAGAAACTTGAACAATATCCTCATTTACCAAAACAGTAGTGTCAACACTTGTTAACACATCCAAATCATTCAAATTAGTAGTTCCCAATCTCATACTATCACCATAACCAATCATGTAAGGTTTCTGTTGTGTAGAGCTCGATAGGAAACCAGCATGCAGGTTGTACATACTCAATTGAGAATATTTCAACCCTTGTAAATGCAAACTATTATCCAAAGTTGTTAAATTATGGAACAAGTATCCTCCACTTGGTGCAATTCCAAATCCCAATCCATTCGTGCAATTTCCCCACATGTTTACAATGGAAACTCCTCCACTCTCACCGAGAGAATAAGAACAGGCCTCTCCACTCACCAATTGTTTCAATTGATAATTTGCGCTGAAAAGTAATTTAGGTGTCATCTGAATTGACTTTTCTCCCAAGCACATGTATCCATTCGTATTATCACCCCATGCATAGAGCTTATTTGTATTCGAAATGGCAAATCCTCCCCTAGTTAATAAGGAAAATGTTGAGCTTGACTCGGGAAAGTTAATGTAATCGAACAAAGCAGCTCCTGTCCATCCTCTCTCCTTATCAGATCCCCAAGTTTTGAAACTTCCACCTGTTTGCCTACAACCACATGCATGAGCAGAGCAGAAACAATCAACAGATCCAGAAACTGAACTAATTTCAGCTACACTTTCCTGATAAGGGCCGTAACCACTTGGATTGACTTGACCATAATCATTTCCTCCAAATGCATAAACCTTTCCAGATTCTGCCAAAACCAAAGCGTTGGCATAACCAAAAACAATCTTTTTCAATTTGGAACCAATAACTTGACTATCAATTGCCAAATAAGGAGTTAAATAAAACAAATCATCGACTGTAATTCCAAAGAGGCCATACGTATTTTTTCCAATCAAGTATAATCCAGTATCGTTCAAATATCCCAAAACTCCCAACCCATCATTTACTGGAATATCATAATCCTTAAGAACTGCAAATTCGAAAGCTCCAAAAACAGTAGAAATTAAATGAGGAGCAGTTCCTGAATATTCTGCATCATCATATCCTCTCATTGCACTGTTAAACTCTCCCCATGAGAATAAATGTCCAGAATCTGTCATTACAAAATAGGTAGCAGAGGTGGAAGTTCCACCAACCGAAACCTTTTTGCACTTATTCGAAACTGTGATTCCTTGGGCATCTACCAATCCAGAATCAATAGTAACTGCATACCATGCCCATTTTTGTGAACTAGCTCTAACAAAGACTAAACCATCTTTCGTACAAGCAATACACGAAACCATACAATCAACACTTTCAAGTTTCTTACCAGAAAGTGATCCATCCAAATATCTGTTATTAGAAGTTGCTGAATATTCATAAACTACTTGTAATTCTGTTGTAAACTTGGGAGACTTTAGTCCAGAACAATAGTCTGTATTATCTCCACATGAAAATAATTGGTCAGTAGTTTCGGATGAGGTGGTATTCGTGAATGTGAACCAATAGAGATTGTATTTATATCCTGGAATGATGGTTTTTAACGAGATTGTAATGTCTGAAGGTTTCGTCGCAATGTTGTAAACACTTTCGTATAGAGAATTTGGATTCGCTAGCAAGGAAGAAACGTGTTGATTTAAAGTTGGAGTTGCAAAGCTTCCGGGTGTTGTTGGAAGGTCCATTCCGGTCTGACCATCCATATTTAATCCCCAAGAATAAACATTATAACTTTCGCCCAAGACTAAACTATTCGAAAGTGTTAAAATAAAGAAGAATAATAACAATAAATAGTGTGCTAATAATGATGGCATATGCCTAGTAATGGGGTTCGTTTTGGATGACATTTTTTTACGTGGTGGAATCTTTGGCTAGTGAACAACTCTCTCCTTGATGTCTGACAGATTGGATGAACTTGCTAATTATCACAAATAGTAACCGTTCTATTTATTTCACTGACTACAACTAATTTTCTAAGCATATGTTCAAAAGTTTCGCCACCTTAATTTCCTTATATAGAATTGACCTGTGGCACAACCCTAGCATTTAAAATACGGCGAAGGAGTCATGTCATTCTAAGGTAATGTAATTTCCACATGAGTTCTTTTTATAATATAAAACAATTGCTTTCTAATCACCTTAGTACGGATATAAAGACCTTATTTGGGAATTTTCTCAATTATTACACTGATCAATATTGAGAGATCTATGAGCTTATTGTAGCATTGATATGTGCCTTACTAAATAGTCCATGAAGAATTGAAAATAGTCATTGATTTGTTGTGGGAATTTATTCGTTATGAAGTTTTTGTGTTTCAAGTGAACAATCTAGGAGCAAGAGTAAAATTGGAAAATCGAGTAATTAATGTTCGTCCAATTTTCTTCAACGTGGCCATAAATATTATCGATTTGATCAATCAATACAAGTTTTTCTTCCTTAATAAATTTTTCATGACCTTAATGGTTATGGTGGATGATCGCGCGGAAGTGATTCCCTATTGTCCATCATGATGTCCGTCACGGAAATAATGGTCATTAAACAAGCCTTAGCTTGTAAATAAATGGTAATCTATTTTACTCGAGTTGGAAATTATGCGATTGTTAGAAGCAACCGAGAGGAGAACATCAACAAAATCGTGATGGTAATTAACTAGTAGAAAAATTGTGTTCCTTTTCCTTACTGTATGTTCATTTGGAATAGGGCATTAAGGAACAGCCAAAATAAATATATATAAATCATTTCATCAGCATAGAGAATGGGCAATAGAGCATCCAATGGATTCTTCTCATCAGTGTCCTCCTCATCAGCAGCAGGTTCTTCATCATCGGCTTCAACATTTGGCTATGATTCATGTCGAGAGGATGATTCAGGCAATCCAGCCAAATTCCTCAATGATGATGTGCTTAATAATTCAATACAATCCATTCGGAGGAATAACATGATGATTCGACCCTCCATCAATATGCAACAACAACACTCCATGACAATGATGAATAATAATATTCATTCAACGTTTGATAATTCCTCTTCGATAACAACGACATTACCTTCTAGTGAAAACAAGTACAGGATATCATATTCATCCTCTCCTCCAAAATCCATCCTGAAAACAACTTATTCTCTTTCCCAACCTTCCTCTCCTTCATCAAATTCTCAACAAGAACAACACTTTTCACAGCATCATCGGAAAGGACATGCTCATCACGATGGAGCTCTTGAGAATCAACACAAATCTCCAACACCACTAGATAGTAGACCAATACATGCCAATCGATCCATGTCCATCACATCCGAAGATGGATTGGCTTACATGCTTCCCTTATCTTCCTCCTCTCCAAATGCTTCTCGATCCATGCATGGCAATAAATCTCCCAAAAACAGAGTACATCCAATCAATGCATTCCAACATGATTCATCCTCTCATTCTCTTAATAGTCAACCAACAATTTCTGGAGATGCCCAAAGAGACTCCATCTTTGAAGAACCAGCTCTTGTGGATTTATTAAGGAAGAATCGATCGAATAGTTTACCATCGAGTTTGTGGTTTGATAAAGGACATGTCGATCCAAAGAATACCATCATCTTACATTCACCACAAAAGAGAATGCCACATAATATTGTGAATATGGATCCAGTGGTGGCTATGGACACACCAATTGTTTGTTTGACATTGCCAAATGAACCACCTGTTCATGATCATTTGCATGTAAAACGACCAAAGAAGAATTTGAAAAAGAAAAAGAGAAAAATATCGAGAAAGGATTAAATTGGGAAATTAGAAAATTTGGAAAAAATCAATTTTGAAAAAAGGAAAATTGTAAATAATATTAAATCAAAGAGATCATTACAAATAATTATTAGAATAAAATACAACAGTTTCATTTTAACATACTTGGATATTTAAAATCAATATTGATGCAGTAAATACATTGTAAACGCTTATATTTGTTTTCTAAAATAGTGTTCATTCCATTAGTGGATTAATAATTTCGCTCCGACTTATCACTGAAATGGCGAAAAAGCACGAACAGTTAAATATTAAACAAACATAAAAAAAAACACATCATGCCAAACGCCATTATTGACAGACTTGTGGAAGGAAATAGATGTGGTGAACGAGATGTTGTACTGCTAGATGCAGAGGACATGAAAACAGTTGCATCTGCTGCATCAAAAATCATTTCCATCACAAATAACAAAACTGTCAAAATTGTGAATATTGACAAGGAAAATATCACATCAGAGGAAGATGTATTTAACTGTTTCGAGAAGGCACTTGATTCGGATTTCCAAAAGTTTTGGGATGGTTTCTTTACCATGTTGAGAAATTACCATGAGGACGATCTTTCGTATGTACTTGTAAATGTAGTTTCCATTCCAGTATTGGAAAGGGAAGATGAGGAATTGAATGAACAATTGGTTTCTACCTTTTTTAAAATATTATTGGATGTGAAGGAGGAAAAGGATGATGATGAATCAGTGCAGCTCTTAATTACGGCACCTAGGGAAGATGCTGATAGAGTTTCGTATTTGTGTGAAGATCATGGTGGTCAACTTTATGATAAGAATTCAAATCCAATACAATTACCATAATTATTATTTCTAATAATTATAAAAATATCAAATTCCAATTTAGTTTAAAATTTGTGGAAAACTACCTATTGGAAGATCTACCTCTTCTCGAGGAAACTGTTTTACATCCAATTTCTGTTAAATAAATTAAGGTAGATAATCTTCGATCTTCAGAGACAGATGTTGTCGAGTAGGGAGTTGATTTCTTCTTGACATCCAATTTGGAAATGAATTTGGTAAGGGACATGTCAATATCTGGAATATCTCTCATACTTCCAGTTTCAAAATAAATATCTGCCAACAAGCTCTTAAAGAGAGAAAGATAATCAATTGATTCGTCCGATTCATTATCGTCATGACAATAAATTAGCATCATGCCAGCTACCACTACAGGTTTAAAACAAAGTAAATCACATACTCGTAGAATTGGATAAGAAGATTCCACAACGTCGTATAGAGTGACAGTTCTGTTGGTTGTATCGTGGAAACGAGGTTCATTGAGCCATTCAGTAAATCGTTCAGTTCTAGATTCCACATTTAAGGGAGGAAGTTTTTCCAACAAAAATCGAATACCATCCTCATTGCAGTTTAAACTTGCCGAGAGAATGGGCGATTCAAATCTCTGATCCATGCAAATACTATTCATAATCATTCCAATTCTAGATGCTTGATCTGGATTGTCACAATAATTAATCCAATCAAAATCTTCAGATTCCAATACTCCAGACCATTCCTCTTCTTCTCTGAGCTCTCCAATGTAGGAATGATCCACAGTCATAAAGAAATTCCATAACGAGTCCTTTTTCAGTTCATTTAAATCATTCTCTGCCTGATCAAACATGGCCGAGTCTCCTTTTTCTAGTCGTTTGATTATCTTGGCCATTCTCACTGGCTGTTCCCTCTTTGATTCGATTTTCACACCAATCAGAGAGGATTTCTTTTTATAAACTCTATTCCAAAACTCTTCCATCAATAGTTCAATTGAAGCAAACAACCAGGTCCATAAATCTTTCAAATTACTCTCCAATAAATCCAAGTCCAGCATGTCTCTAATTTCATGATCATGTTCATCAGAATCAATCTTTACAAAGAATTCTGTCTTGATGACTGGAAACATCATTGAAAATGAAAGCATAGACTTGTAAAGTTTCATAACAATTAATAAATCTACAAGAGTTAAACTTTCCAATAACTTTACATCCAAATAATTATTCTCCCAAACATTCAACAAGGGTCCAAATAACTTCTCCATTCCAAACCTTGTCAGTAATCCTAATAACTCTAAGAAATTTTCACCCTTCCTATGTACAATTCCGAAAAATACTATGGAAAACATCAAATCACTCAGGTAGCACTCACACGTATCTGAGGAATCATCGTGTGTATACAATGCACTATTCACTTGTGCAAAGTACAATAAATCATGAATATGAAATCCCATATTCAGCAAATAGTCTACTTTTTGAATATCACCCCAAATAATAACATCAGTCAATCTGTGAATATGTCCATAAACACCAGAATGATTTTCAATGCCGTAATAATTGACTAGGGAGAATTCCTTCCTCGTCTTGTTTCTCTTTCGCAGATTATTTTGCAATTTGAGGAATACGGTTGGCAAGTCCTTGTGCTTGTTCGATTGCAGCGAGCTAAGAAGAACACAGGGAGGAGCACTGGTCTTTCCATAGCACTTTTCAAATCCTACACATTCAAAATATGAGTCTATTGAGTCACTTCTCGTCTTGAACGATTCCAAACCACAGAAACAAATCAAATTAATGTGTGAAGGCAGTATGGCAGCCAAATAAATTAAATCTTGTGGAGTTTTTCTCCTTCCAAATTCTTCTTCCCCCTCTTCATCTGCATTGGAAAATATCACAGATTTGAGCTGATGATCCAGGTCACCAACCTTGCACAACTCTAGTGGTACTTCCAATCTCTTATTCCTTGTATCTGGAAGGTTTATCCATGTAAAGTATTGATTATTCTTTTTAAATATATTCCTCTGTAAAAATTCTCTGTCGTCTGAATTGCTCGTTATCAAATTTCCATGAGTTTGAGTAATGTCCTGAGAAATATGTGACTCGGATATACCATCGTATGCCTCCAAATAAATATACTTTAAAGTTTCAAAACTCTTATTGGTACTATCATTGAAAAATGGCAATAATTCAAGGATGTCAATATTTCCCAATATGTGTGAATTATCATCTTCCACTCGGTTTTGTTTCTTTTCGTGATCTATGGATTTTGTTTTATATTTTCCCTTCTCTATCGACGAAAAATCATTTTGAAACAAGAGGAAGGACATGAACTGTGACTGATACGAGTCCACAAACCGAAGATTCTTTTGCCTTGTCACTTCAATGTCACAAAATCCACTATAAGGAAGATTAATCTCTCTCAAATTACTCGTACTATTTGCAATATTCTGTGCCAATCCACATTCCAATTTACAATTGAAAAATGTAATGCTCTCCAAAGTATTATTCGGATTTTCCTCATCACTACCTAAACACCACGTAATTAATTCTTTTTCTATAAACAAATCACTAAAATACCAATGGCGAACACCAGTGAAAAACAAATTAAACAATGAATGAACCTGTTTCCTATTAGATTCCAAAAATGTTGAATATTGCTCTTGGCTGATTCCTTCATCCATTTCCGAATGTTTTTCCAATTGTTTCTGATGAGAATATTTACAACTCGACAACATGATCCTATCAAATATAAATTTGGTGAATCTAAACTCTTCCTGATGAGAAGCAAATCCTCGGATACTATGATACCAATGACTATTCATCCAAATTAACTTCATATAATCAATCGGGAAGAGAAAGGAACAAATCTCCCAAATCCATTCCTTCGGAATAAATCCCCAATCTCCAATAACAAAATTATTTTGATAATAATTATCCAAGTCTTCATTCATAATGTGATTATTATTATTATTTGATAAAGATGATGAACAAGGCTTCGAGCAATTATCGGATTTATCAACAACTCTCGCCAAAATTCGTTTTTTCATTTTTTTCAATTAATATTTAATTATCATCAACATGTTTCATGAAAATTACCAGGAATGTCCCAAGTAGAACTTGAGGATATTCTCAACTCTATTACTCAAAAGAAGAAAAATCTCAAAAATTGGCAGTTATTGGATTTGGAATATTTTCTGAATTTAATTTATTATGTGATAGAATGTTATGAATAATGTGACAATTTTCTGTTACTTTAAGGCATTGAAATGGTTGTATCTCATTCGTTTCTTCTTTTCATGTTCAAGCAGAGAAGAAAGCTCCTTAACTATGCTCTCAAATGTAGGCCTTTGGTCTGGATCAAGGTTCCAACAGTTTTCCAAAACTTTCAAAACTTCTAAATCAATTTTTACAGTTACAGGTTTTAGTTTTCCCTGTAAAATCAATTGAATGGCATGTTTAAATTTGAGCCGATGATATATTTCCTCTCGGTGCAATATTTCCCATAGTATATTCCCAAACATGAAAACGTCACTTGGGAAATGATAATTTGATTTGTCATTAATGGCTTCAGGAGAACATTTGATTAATTTTTCAAGAGGTAGGAATTTCAGTTTCTCTTCAGCATCTGACCAGTCTTTGGAAACACTTAAATGGAAATCAATCAACTTGGCTTTGAGGAATGGTCCTTGTTCTCCTTTATATTCTAGCAATACAATATTATGGACTGTTAGATCTCTGTGTAACACATTTTTTTTGTGCATCCACTCCATTCCGTTAGCTATATCATTGAGTAATGAAAGGAATTGCAGTTTGTCAAAATTAATCTTTGGTTTTTGCTTATTTTGCTTATTGAAATAGTGATTCCATAATCCATAATCACAATATTCCATGATTAAAAACCCATTGTATCCATCAAGAGAAACAGCATACAATTCAGCTATATTTTCATGGCCTCTAAGTTTTGCCAAAAGGTCCAACTCGTCTAAAAACCCAGTAATAGTATCTGGATATATAAACTCAACTTTTTTAACAGCAACTCTTTTTGATCGGAACATCATTGGAAACACTTCTCCATGTATTCCTTTTCCGAGCATTTTTTCATTAGGTAATGGAAGTAATTCTGAAAATGGAATGTATTCTACATTAACTTTTTCACAAACTTCCTTAATTCTCGGATACCATATATCCATTTTAGGAATATCAGTAATAAAACCAATCAACTTATCTATTTCTGTAGTGAAATGGTTATCTTTTTTAAATTCAACAAGGAGGTATTCCAGGTTTGGCTCTTCCTTTTCGTAAGTAACAGCCTGATTTTCATCTTCGTGAACAAGGTATTCTTTTAAAATACAATATTTGATAAAAGACCACACCAACTCATCTGTAGCAAACTGTTCATATTTCATCATTGTATTATTTCTATCTATAAGGTAAGTAAGAATGAGGTATAGATTTGGCTTTTGAGCAATGTATTTCCAAAGAATTTGGTTGTTTGTAATTTCTTTAAGGGAATTTTGTAAATACTTCAATTCCTCCTTCCCATTATTAAAAATTCTTTTCAAATATTGTTCGACAAATTCTCTGAAATTTCCCTCCAGTATTGTTTTAAAACTGGAGTATTTTGATTTTTTAGCCTTTCCAGATGGTTTCATCAGCAATGAAAAACTCCCCAAACTCATTGGAACTGACTTTCCTTCTAATTGTTTAGAAAACTTCTCTTGTATAGGTTCAAACACACTCTTTCTTGTAATCACTCCTACTTCATCTATACCCAAAACCAACTTCCAATGTTCCATCTCTGCTATATATTTATCAAAAATAGGCTTGATATCTGGTGGTATTTTAGCAACTTTAGAATTGTCAGATATTGGAGTCAAAAAATTGTACATAAAATCTATTCTCTTTCTTACAGTCTTTAGGGGAGAGTTTGGAGGCGAGTGCAGCAAATCAATGTTTGGAAGTATCCCAGTTTTAGGAAAGTCCATTGCAATTTGGAATTGTTTGGCTAGTTTTCTAGATTCTGTTAGATATGTGTATCTTCCATTCATTATTGTATTTTGCCAGGTCGTTACTATCTTTCCGACGTACTGTTGCGCTATTATTAAATGAGTGAACGCTTCTGAAAGTGTTTTTGGTGTAACTTTCGTTTTTGGTATAATTTCTTCATACTCTGTTTGCTCCTCTTTATCTTCCTTTTTTTTCTCTTTCAATTCAATTTTTTTTGTAATATTATCTCCTATCAGGGATAATGATTCATCCCAAATAACAACATACTTGTCACCATCAAGGTCACCTGAAATATCAGATGCAGCACATACACTTGAAAAAACAACTGCACAATCATTTGTACTCAATTGTAAATTATTGATAGGTTCTTTTGCAGTCAGCATCTTTATCTCATTTATATTCAATACTGGATATCTGAAAACTAACACCTTTGTCCCACTCTTTAAAAATTTGGTATTTGGTTTAGCGTACTTGGTATGTTTGTTTCCCAACATTACAAAAACTTCCTTTTCTTTAAGTTCTTTAGTTTCATCCAGCAAACCATAACATGTCATACCTTCTGTAACCAACATGTTACCATTATCTCTTTTCTTTGCTAGTGTACTTCTCAACAAATCTATCAAAAAAGGATTTGAGTGAAAGGACGCTCTATCAATACTTGGTAAAACATCACCGTAATGGGATTTCAGTATTTTCATCACATCATAATCATAATTCTCAATTTTCTTTTGAGAGAAGAAATTCATGCGGCGTGAATAAAGCAAAAGAAAGACTTGTGTGTTAAAATAGGCGGGAGATGGCTCTTCCTTCGTGGATGCCACTATTTCTAGATCATATTTGTCATCTTTGTTACACTCAAATTTCTTCATACTTTTTCTCAAAATCACTTTCTTTTTAACTCCTTTTCTTTTTAGCATGTCATCAGGATACACTGTTAACATCCCCTTAAAACCAGCAATTCTTACTTGGAATGCTGTTGGTAAGTTTTCTTTTTCATTCTTCAAGTGCTCAGCAGCAAAAGAATAAGATATCATGCCTATTCCATCCGATAATATGGACCCATTCCCTGCATATGTATCGTCCTCTTCAACAATATCATCCTTTTTAAGAGTACATATGCGTACAGTAGGAGTAAAATTTAAACTTTGTCTTGATATCTTCTTGAAAAAGTCATTATCGAACTTTCCAAGTTTATCCATCAAGCTATTGGCTGTTTTTCCAGTTTCCAGTTTCGAGATGTCATAGTAGTAAATAGATCCCTTTTTGATTTGGCTTTGTGATCCACCAACAACTTGGAATTTCTTGTCAAGAATTGTTATCATGTCCAAAACTTTGCTGTTCTCAGAAAACTGAACTTTGATGAAATCCATCAAGTCAAATTTTCTAAACACTCTGTTGCTCTCAATAAGTTTTGGTAATTGGTATACAGTTGTGCTATCATTATTAATACCAACTGCCTTTACATAAAACCTCTTTGGAAAAAATGAGTGTTGCTTGTGACTTGCCACTTTCAAGAATTTGAAAGATTTCAACTCGTGCAACGTACCATCCTTGCCCTTCTTTAAATAGTTACTAAATGAAACGGTGAATTCGTAGGCTGATTGAATATCTTCTTTAAAAGACTCTAACTTTTTTTTGAACTCTTGAATAAACTCAGAATTATTCAGTTTTGGATTTTGATTCAATAGTGCTTGTATCAAATATGTGTACTCGAAAGTCATATCTTGTTTTTGGCTTCGTGGATCTTGTTGGTCAACGGCAGCTACTGATGAAGAGTCTCTGCTCCCTGTCAACATTTTTTTTTGTGGAAGTTGACGAGTAATTACTTGGAAACCAACAGAGTCGTCACTTGGGAATTACAAAAGGATGATTATCGTAACCAAGTCGTTGTAAAATCAGTAATTGACAATTCCCAAGTCTTGTCCACCTTCTCACTAGATATTTATATGAAGTTTGGTAGACCCATTATTTTGCTATTAACTCCACCTCTTCAGTGTCAAGTAATCTCTCACACTATTATTTCCATCAAAAAGAAAACTACTTGATGATACGGAATCATGATAAAGTTCTCAACATTCCGATGATGAGAAAAGGTAGTTTAGCTGCTTCATCATTTTTTGAATATTTTTTCTTTTTTAAAATAATTATTATTTGATTTAAAATTTATTTTCAAAAACAAGAATCCTTTGAAGAATAACAAACCAAATGCCAACAAAAAGGAAGGTAGAACCGTCGGTCCACGTACTACCAAACCATCGAAAAAAGGAAAGTCTTTCGGAACATTCAATACTTACTCATCAACAACTATGGTGAATTTAAACTCATACCAAGTCACACTGTTAATCTCTATGGATGATCCTTTCCGAGTGAATTACTCGATTTGCTGCCTATTTACTTGATGATGGATATTAGTTCCATATTGAAAGTGTGAAAAGGAAAATAAGAAAATGCAAGAGAATCACCTTGATGGC